AAACATTCTCTTCATAAGGAGGCAAAATTGTGCAAGGTAAGCCAATATCAAATCTCTCCCATCCTGTTTTACAATTTTAACGAACATATCATTTGTAGGCTTCTACCCATTCTGTCTGGGGAGACGTGAAGAGTTTCAGACAAATGCATTTCGTGAACAGGACTATCCGTCAAACGGATAAATGGGTTGAGCCATACCAAGAAGGAGGATGTGAATCCTGCTGTCGTCCTGGACCACCAGGACCCCGAGGAGCGCCAGGAAGACCAGGAAAACCCGGGAGAGCCGGTGCACCGGGTCTTCCAGGAGTGCCCGGCTTTTCGCCCTCAGAACCGTGCGAACCTGTCACCATTCCTCCATGTAAGCCATGCCCTCGCGGTCCGCCGGGTCTACCAGGAATGCCAGGACCGCTAGGAGACCCTGGAAAGAATGGCCTTCCGGGCTCACCAGGAGAGAATGGAGCACAGGGAGCCCCAGGACGCAAAGGTTATCCTGGCCCTCAAGGCTCTACAGGAAAGCAGGGTGAGAGCGGGATTCCAGGAGAAGATGCAGTCTGTAGTCCCGTTCTGGAAGGCGATCCAGGCCCATCTGGACAGCCGGGTCCACAAGGACCACCTGGTGTACCGGGAATTCCAGGACCTAGTGGAATACCAGGTAAGCCGAACTGACTCTTCAGTCACTGCAACCGCCACAAAACGGCCTTTTCAGGTGCTCCTGGGCCTAAAGGCATTCCTGGTCGTGATGGAGCTGCTGGCTCTGACGGATTACCTGGCCTACGTGGGCCTGCAGGACCACCAGGACGAAGCGGTGAGCCAGGTATCTGCCCAAGATACTGTGCCGAGGATGGCGGTATCTTCTTTGAAGATGGAACTCGTCGTTGATTTTTTGGCGCAGCAATTCAATAAATTATTTTATTGAACTATTTTTTTTTTCTTGAGTTTTATGTCATATTAAAAAAGTGGAAAGAGGCAACGAAGCAGTGCAATTAGTGAAGCTAAAGAAGAGTGCTGATGGTGACTATGTGCTATCTCCCCGGAAAAGAAGCTTTAGTTTCAAACAACTGGTTGTTCTCCAGAAAAACTCATAGACATTGGAAGAGTTGGAAGATTAATTGATTTTGAGCTCATATAAGTTATTTGCTCTGAAAACGTTATTTGAGTCTCGTTATACCAAATTACGTGAACTCGAA